GTGGTGGCCGGGAGCGGCCACTGCACTCCGGTCTGGGCGACAGAGTGAGACTCCAACTCATAAAAAAGTAAAATAAAATAAAATAAAGTTATAATAAAGACAAAGTTGGGCCAGGGGCAGGTGGGTTACGCCTGTAATCCCACACTTGGGGAGGTGGAAGCAAGAGGATTGCCTGAAACCGCGGACTGGAGACCAGCCTGAGCAACGTGGTGAGACATCATCTCTAAAATAAATCAAAACATTAGCCAGGTGTGGTGGCGCCTGCCTGTGGTTCCAGCTACTTGGAAGGCTGAGGCGGAAGGATCGCCTGAGCCTAGCTGGTTGAGGCTGTGGTGGCCGTGAGTGTGCCACTGCACTCCAACCTGGGTGACAGAGTGAGACTGACAATCAATCAATATCATTGACTTTGTTATGCATATAACTCATCAGAATTTCTATGCTTCCATATAGAAAGAACACTGTTGGCTGGGCTCAGCCTGTAATCCCAGCCCTTTGGGAGGCTGAGGTGAGTGGATTGCCTGAGCCCGCGGATTCGAGACCTGCCCGGGTCACTTGGCCAGACTTCTCTACAATAAATAAAAAATTAGCTGGGCGTTGTAGCGTGTACCTGTAGCTCCAGCTACTCGGAAGGCTGAGGCGGAAGGATCACCGGAGCCCAGCAGGTCAAGGCTGTGGTGGCTGGGAGCGTGCCAGTCTGGGCGACGGAGTGAGACTCCAACTCAAAAAAAAAAAGAAAGAAAAAACACTGTTAGAAAAGAACAGTGACTGGGCTTGGTGGCTCAGCCTGTAATCCCGCGCTTTGGGAGGCCGAGGTGAGTGGATTGCCTGAGCCTGTGGGTTCGAGACCTGCCTGGGCAACTTGGCGAAACCTCGTCTCTACAATAAGTCAAAAAAATTAGCCGGGTGTGGTAGCGTGTGCCTGTAGTTCTGGCTACTTGGAAGGCTGAGGCGGACGGATTGCTGGAGCCCCAGCAGGTTGAGGCTGTGGTGGCCGGGAGTGACCATTGCACTCCAGTCTGGGCGACAGAGTGAGACTCCAACTCAAAAAAAAAAAAAAACAGTGTGTAGAAAAGTAAAATTACAGATGTCAAAAAATAGAATTTGTTACTTGTTTTTGGAATATTTATTCTTGCAGCTGGGAATAGATTGGTGAATGTTCTAGACCAAGCATGTCTGGCCTGTGGGGTGTATGCAACCCAGGACAGCTAGTAATGCAGTCCTATAAAATCTTCTAGCATCATATTTTTTTAGCATTTATTTCCTTTATGACCCCATGGGTAGTTCCATATTTGAAATTAATAACCACACCTTATTTATGACAACACTTTTTTGGCAGCACATACATTTATGAGCTGCAGTTTTCAGTTATGAAGCACACGAAGAGCAAAATCCAAACAAATTTTTTTTTCTCTTTTTTTTTTGAGTAGGAGTCTCACTCTCACCCAGGCTGGAGTGCAGTGACATGCTCACAGCCACTGCAACCTTGACCTGCCAGGCTCAGGCGATTCTTCTGCCTCAGCCTTCCAAGTAACTGGAACTACAGGTGTGTGCCATCATGCCTGGCTAATTTTTTGACTTATTGTAGAAGCAAGGTCTCACCAAGTTGCCCACACTCGTCTCGAACCCCTGGACACAGGCAGTCCTCCCGCCTCCACCTCTCAAAGTGCTGGGATTACAGGCATGAGTCACTGCAGCTGGCTTGAACAAACATTTCTTTTTTTTGAGTTGGAGTCTCACTCTTGCCAAGGCCAGAGTGCAGTGGCATGCTTCTGGCCACCGCAGCCTCGACCTGCTGGGCTCAGGTGATCCTTTCACCTTAGCCTTCCAAGTAGCTGAAACTATAGGCATGTGCCACCACGCCCAGATAATTTTTTGATTCATTGTAGAGATGAGGTCTGTAACAAGTTCGAGTGGCTTGTGTCAGCGTTTGTCACTGCAGGGCACATGACATTTATTTACCTTTGTGATATAAGGCAAGAAGATGGAATAACTTCTTTACTTATGTCTATGAATTATTTATAAAGTTTGCAATGAATCCATTTCTGTTTGATTAAGTGCATTTGACAGAAAAGTTTCGTTGGAAGAAACACCTTTTAAGTTGAATGCAGAGAAAACCCCAAATAAATGATGTCACCACAATGGGGTATACTCAGGAATGCGTACAATGTAAGTTGATTAAATAGCCTAGAAAACTTTCAATTGTAGTCTCAATGTATCTAAACCTAATGAAATTCCTTTTATAGTTTAAAATAGTACATTCTGTCTAACATCACTGGAATTTTTTATTTTAAAAATTGAGAATAACTTTTAACTTTACTAATTCAGTTGACTTGATCATGATATAACAATCCAAAAGCAAATGTGATAGTCAAGATTTGGTAGACAGTTTAAAACTAAAAGATTGTGTAGTAGAGAATGAAATGGATAGCACATGCATTAATTTATTTATATATTTAGAAATGTTGTTATAGTAAGCCAGGCTTGGTGGCTCAGCTTGTAATACCGTGCTTTGGGAGGCTGAGGTGAGTGGATTGCCTGAGCCCATGGGTTCGAGACCTGCCTGGGCAACTTGGCGAGACCTCATCTCTACAATAAATCAAAAACTAGCCAGGCGTGATAGCGCCCGCCTGTAGTTCCAACTACTTGGAAGGCTGAGGCGGAAGGATCGCCAGAGCCCAGCAGGTCGAGGCTGCGGTGGCCGCAGCAGCCACTGCACTCCAGTCTGTGCAACAGAGTGAGACTCCAACTCAAAAAAAAAAAAAGAAATGTTATAAAAATTTATAGGCGGTATATACAGCACTACTAAAGAAGCCAAAGAAGATTTTGCGTTGCCATGTGTAATGTGCCTGCCTCTGTCAGAGGCTGGGAATAATGATTCTGCTGTAATTTTAGATCCTGGATCTATGTTTGTAAAATGGGAGCTGGGGCCAGTTATAGGCCACAGTGAAATCTGTTCCTTCTGTCACCTTATGTTCTTATATTTCCTTTCCCTCAGATAGTAAATTAAGGCTAAAGTGAACATGTTGATATCTGTAGTTATAAAAAATTGTTAGGTAATTTTAGAATTGTCAAAGAAATGCTTGGATCCATTAACATTTGTACTCTCAGCTTTTTAGACTATACACTAGAGGGGTTGAGAGTGTATAGCTGAGAGGATTACCTGAGCCCAGGGGTTTCGAGACCAGCCTGGGCAACTTGGCAAGACCTTGTCTCTACAGTAAATCAAAGAATAAGCTGGGCGTGGTGGCGCATGCCTGTAATTCTAGCTACTTGGAAGGCTGAGGCGGAAGGATCACCTGAGACCAGCAGGTCAATGTTGCAGTGGGCGTGAGTGTACCACTGTATTCCAGCCTGGGTAACATAGACTCCAACTCAAATATTAAAAAAAAAAAAAAAAATAGAGAAAAGATGTTCATTTTCTATTGCAAGTTATACAAGGAAAAGAATAGGTAAGCATCCTATTATGCTTACCTATTCTTTATCCTATTATTCTATTAAGCCAAGTGTGGTGACATGAGTCTGTGGTTCCAGCTACTTGAAGACTGAGGTAGAAGGATCACCTGGGCCCAGCAGGTCAAAGCTGTAGTGGCCATGAGTGTGCCACTGTGTTCCAGCCTGGGTGACAGAGTGAGACTCTAACTCAAACAAAAAACAAAAACGGAAACTCCTCAGCCATTAAACAACTCCTCATTTCCTTCTCTCCTCCCCTCAGCCTCTACCATTCTACTTTCTGTCTCTATGAATTTGACTACTTTAGGCACCTCATAGTAATAGAATCATAAAATATTTGTCCTTTTGTGGCTGACTTATTTCACTTAGCATACTGTCTTTCAAGATTCATCCATATTGTAGGATGTGTCAGAATTTCCTTCATTTTTAAGACTGAATAATATTCCATTATATGTATATGCCACATTTTGTTTAGCCATTCATCTGTCAGCGGATACTTGGGTTACCCGGAGCTTTTGATTATTGTGAATAATACTGCTATGAACTTGGGTGTACAGGTATCTGTTTATATCTCTACTTTTTTGTTGTTGTTGTTGGGATCTCACTCTGTTGCCCAGGCTGGAGTGTAATGGCACAATCATGGATCACCAAAGCTTCCACCTCCTAGGCTCAGATGAGCCTTCTGCCTCAGTCTCCCAAGTAACTGGGACTACAGGTGTGTGGCACCATGCCCTGCTAATTTTTTTTTTTTTTTTTTTTGAGTGGAAGTCTCACTCTGTCACCCAGGCTGGAGGGCAATGGCACGCTCATGGCCACCGCAGCCTCAGCTTGCTGGGCTCAGGCATTTCTTCTGCCTCCGCCTTCCAAGTAGTTGGAACTACAGGCATATGCCACCATGCTCGGCTGATTTTTTTATTTATTGTAGAAACCAGGTCTCGCCATGTTGTTCAGGCTGGTCTCGAAGCCCTTGAGCTCAGGCAGTCTTCTCACTTCTGCCTCCCAAAGTGCTAGGATTACAGGTGTGAACCACTGCTCCTGGTGCCTTAACTTAAATTTAAAAATTAAGCCGGGCTCGGTGGCTTAGCCTGTAATCCCGTGCCTTTGGGAGGCTGAGGTGAGTGGATTGCCTGAACCTGTGGGTTTGAGACCTGCCTGGGCAGCGAGACCTCATCTCTACAATAAATCAAAAAATCAGCCGGGCGTGGTAGCACATGCCTGTAATTCCGGCTACTCGGAAGGCTGAGGCGGAAGGATCGCCGGAGCCCAGTGGGCGAGGCTGTGGTGACCAGGAG